TTTGACTATGTCATATTGCAAGGAGTTTACTACCTTAAATTAAAATTTGATGAAGTTTCAAGGTTGATAGCTATGAAAACAAATTTATTTTGACAATTACTATTTGAGACAAAAAATAAAAACTGGAACAGCAACATTACTTTTTAAGTTTTGCCAAAATTTCATGTCAATAGTCGTTCATGCATGGAACCCATTCTAAAAACATTTTTGAAATTATTTTCTTTTAGAATTGGATTATTGTTTAAAAAAAATCTTTAATCGAATTCTAAAATTTAATCTTTATACGTTCTACTAAAAATATGTTGAAATAACTTTACGGCTAAGGTACAATGGTTTAGTGACATTTCCATCCATACGGGTTAGGACGTTACAAAATTCGTATCACAAGGTAGCCAAAATTACCGTGGAAAGTCCAGCTTGTTACCTGCCGGATACAGCTTTACCTGTGAAGCAGCACTCTCTTTTTTTTTGTCATATCTGGAGTTATATAGATCCAATGAACCAGATATTTAAACCAATGGAAAGATAACTTTAGTGGCAATAATTTATCTATTGATCATAAGTCCAAATTCGCTTCACAATGTATCTAAAAATTGGCATCAAGTTACATATTCCAACTGTCTTGAAACTTGACAGAAACAAGTTGCATTGCCTACTTGAATTTTGGATGTTCCTTTGCCTATAAAAGGGACCTTGGCCACGATTTTGAGAAAATCAATTCCTCTCCTATCATATTCTAGTTTCCTTCCTTTTCCTTGTAACATTTCATTATGTATTTCTAAACCATTAGCTAGAGATAGGGGTGAAACTTTGGTGAATGCATAGTATTGTCTTTGATATTTCATTTTGTTCTTCAATGTTCATCTTCTTACTTGGTTGAAGTATATGTTCTACAAATGGTTTTGGTTTGTTAAAGACTTTGATTTATTGTCGACAATGTTGGCACAATAAATGCTTAGATAATCTCTACATTCCAACAACTTATTTTGACATATTCTCTCAAACAATTATCAAGATCTATCTTTTAGTATATTTGTGATTAATGTTTTATCTTCCATATGAGATCACTCCTTAGTTGATTTTCATATAAGTTAAATTAAAGATCAAGGGCAATTTCTACTCATTTATCTGAAGTGAATCCCCGACGCTCTAGTGTTCGTCTTCGTCGTATTTCCACCAACCGTTTACTACTAATAAACTAGTTTATTTCCTTCCAATTTCCTGTGGTTCGACCTCGAACTTTCGAGATTTACTACTTGCGACAACCTGCACTGGGTTTGCAACCTTAAAGTTATAGCACAAAGTGTAAAATGTTTCTTTTGCCCTTATTTAACATTTCCCAAATAAATTTGTTAAGGGTATTTATATCATTTGTGCTATATATTTTTTAATATAATAAATTATTATTATTTTTATTAATATTATTATTATTTTAAAATAAATTTAAATATAAGACATGATAATTAATAAATTAATTAAAAGACGAAAACAATTTAAAATACAATAAACACGATTACTTATTAAAGTTAACACGAAATATATTAAACAATGACATACATACGATAATCTAATTTTATTTTTAAAAAAGGATACATAAAAAGTGCATAATTCAGTAATATGGAAGATCGCTTCCAGATCCTCCAAAATCATTAAAATAATTTCCAAACAAATTAACCAGATGAATTTTTAGATCCTTTATCTTGTTGTTGAGATCTCTTCTGGAAAATTCTTGCTTGTTCATTTTGCAAGCACAAACATATGTGTGGATCTGTTATCGAACTCAAATCTATCAACAAAATGTTATTCTCCTCACGATATTCTGTCATTGCCAATTTTCTTTTTTGGATTTCATAATTCTATTGTCTTTCCTAAATACCTTGCTTCATAATTTCGAGAATTTGTCGATTCTCTTCTTGAATGGATGTAAGTAATTTTATACATTCTTCTTCATTTCCCTTTTTCCTTTTGCTTTACCCCTATAGGTCGTTGAGTAGAAATATCGTCAACATTGTCTTTGTTTATATTAAAAGAAAATGAGGACAATCTAGGAGATTTTGAATGAGTTGACATGTGGTCCTTCGATGGCAAATTTGGCTGTGACGATGCAATGTTAACACGGCCTTGCCTATGGTAGATTGCTTTTGCTGTGTTAACATCATCTCCAAAATTTTTTGGCATCTTTAAGCATAGGCCAAACATGATCAAATTTGAACTCTTTCTTGTAATCTGAGTCTTTAGATAATAGCATTTTGGCTCGAAAACAAAGACAATGTAACATTAATCTAATAGAAACTTAATATTGGAAGCATATACTACGAGTAATACTCACAATATCTTCCTCTAATACACCACTTGGTTTCAGAAGTTTGACTTGTCGAACGCATCCTTGCATTTTGCTAATGGCAGCATTAATAACTTGCATTCGCTTAATTAGAGATCTTTTCAATTGAGTAAGAGTGATAAATGAAGGAAATGTGGTATTGTATCCATTCTCTACTCGGGACCAGAATTGCTCCCTTGATTGGTATATGCCTACCATTGGATCTTGGGAGATATCAAGATAGACTTGACATAAGTCTACATCTTCTTCATGTGAGTATGAAGAAGTTCATGGAACAGAACTCATTTTTGAAGGGGGTTATTGAGAAGGGTAAATGATATTAACTTCGGAAGCTTAAGAAATTGAAGGTAATGGTACGCTAATTTATAGACAAAAGGGTAGGAAGGATAAGATTTGATTATATACAAATCGAACGGTTGAGATCTTGACGTAATCTAATTCAATGACGAAGATGAATTTGCCTAGATATCTATCTTCAATAGTGTGCTATAAGATTTGATATTACATACGGATCGAGCAGTTGAGATCTTGACGTAATCCAATCTGACGATGGAGATGAATTTGCCTAGATATCCTATCTTCAATAGTATACTATGAGATTTGATATTACATATGAATTGAACGGTTGAGATCTTGACATAATCCAATCTAACGACGGAGATGAATTTGCCTAGATATCCTATCTTCAATAGTGTACTATAAGATTTGATATTATATATGCATTGAATGATTGAGATATTTACGTAATCCAATCCAACGATGGAGATGAATTTGCCTAGATATCCTATCTAAAGGTGGACCAGGTATTCTACAACAATAAAAGGCAGTATTGAGGTCGAGCAATCCTCATCGCTCAATCATATTACTCAAAAATGAATTTCAATAATGGAGGTCCCTCTTATGTGTCTGATTCAAATTCATCGTCATTGTCCGATGGAGAAAATGATAATGATTTTCTTGAAGAACAACAACAAGCTATTACTCGTATATGTTCGAATGGAAACCTACTCATAGCTCAGTACGCTACTCAACATGTTTACCAAAGGCCACATGGAGGCTCCATTCAAGGTCATAGAACCATCAACCATGATTGAAAAGTTGCTCATGTAAATCTCTTCAACAGCTACTTTGCTAAAAACCTACGTTTCAATGAACATATGTTCTGTCGACAATTTCGAATGTCTCGACGTATATTTGGTCGAATACTAATGGCGGTGGAAGGTCATGACAATTATTTTGTGCAGAAACGAGATGGGATAGGTAGACTCGGATTGTCTAGTCATCAAAAGGTAACGATAGTGTTCCAGATTTTGGCATACGACGTGTTAGCAGATGCTACTGATGAGCATATTAAAATAGGTGATTCTACCGTCATTGAAAGTTTGAAGAGATTTTGTCGTGCCGTTGTCGAAATATTTGCTAGCAATATCTAAGATCGCCTACTGCGAATGACATTGAGAGACTACTCCATGTTAATAAACAACGTGGTTTTCCCGGAATGTTGGGCAGTCTGGATTGTATGCATTGGAAATGGAAAAATTGTCCAACCACATGGGCAGGACAATATGCAGGTCGTAGTGGATCCCCAACTATTATCCTCGAAGCTGTAGCTGATTATGATCTTTGGATATGGCATGCATATTTTGGACTTTCTGATTTGAACAACGATATCAACGTTTTGGAGAGATCTCATCTTTTAGCAAACCTCGCTCAAGGTATTGCTCCTCCAGCTCAATACGTCATTCAAGGAAGACAATATAATGTGGGTTACTATTAGTATATACCTAAAATGGTCTACCATTGTGCAAACAATTCATGAGCCGCGTGGTCCTAAGAAAATTATTTGCAATGAAACAAGAAGCGTGTAGAAAAGATGTTGAACGTGCATTTGATGTTCTACAATCGAAGTTTGCAATAATGAAAGGACTGACAAGGTTTTGGGAAAAACAAGTATTATATGATATCATGACTACATATATAATAATGCATAACATGATTATCGAGGACGAATGTAATGTTGATGCACCAGTGCAAGAATGGACGAAAGTGCCAAGACAAGAAGTTGAGTTGGTTGAAGACGAAAATCGACATTTTCACGAATTCCTTGCTTGTCATAAAAAAATCAACAATAAAAAAACTCACACTGCACTTTGAAATGCATTAATCGATTATTTGAATGAATATATGAATTCTGAGAATTAAATTGCAAAAATTTTGCGACTTCTTAATATCATCTATTCAAATTCGAAATGCATTGTATTATTTTCTAACATTATTATTTCATATTTTCGTTGTTGTAGTGTTTTTATTAATTGTTCTATGTTTTTTATATTTATTAATGAATTTAATCTTTTTCGTAATTCAACGTAATTAGTTATTTAGTAATTTATGTATTTATAAAATAATTAAATAAATAAATTATAAAGAATAAAAAAAGGAAGAAAATGGTTAAACATTGTTCATTTGATATAACTTTTGGTGTAATGGTTGAAGATGAATTTTAGTTTGGTACAAAATTTGGTGCAAGGCTGGAGATGGCCTAAGGTATGTATATTTGTAGTTTCTGGACAACTTTATCTTCAAAATATTATTATTATTATTATTTGGTATGTTTTAACCTTTTTGTCTTATTTACTTCTTGTGTGTATAGCGTTCCATTATATTACTCACCTCGTGGAATCGAAGGTTGTAATGTCGAAACCTCTTCCTGATGAAATAAATTATTTTGTTCAGATAATATTTGATGATTTTTTGTATAATTTTTTTCTGACTGTATTATGATTGAAGTATTTCAATTTTATCCGTTTTTAAGATTTTGAATCATTAGCCCAATAGTATTCTAAAGTTCCCATATCGAACTTTGGTAGAAGATTGTAAGCAAAGTTCAGTAAAAGGGAAAGAAATAAGATTTCAGTTGATTTACGCCTTGTTTGTTACATCAAAATTGTTTGTTCAGTCGTTCACACGTACTATTATCACTCTTGTTGCTGCTTCCACTTGTAGAGAAAGAAACTGGTTTAAATAGTCTAATGAGTACTGAGCTTCCATTGAGGACTAAATAGTTCCTTCTTTCCTAATGGCAAGGTTACTCTGGAAACCCCAAAGAGCTGGATTTTAGGTCGAGCAAAAAGTTGTTCACCATAAATTCTTCAATAAGAATTATAGATTTAAAGGTAGTAGCATAAGTTATGGGACAACTACATATAAGATTTAAAATTATTCTCATCTAACAATCTTCATTAGGTCAAATATGTTTCGATCTGTGAAATACAGCACATTTTTGGATCTAATACCCAACATTATGAGATGTTCAAATAATTTGGAATTCCTGTTGATAATACTTTATGGTGAAATGAAGCATTGCCGAATTGTGTTTGCAAATTTTAGAAAAGATTTATGTACTATCTTAACAAC